AAAAAAAAAAAAAAAAAATCGAACATTGAACATAGTAATTTCTTCTTGTCAAATTTTTTGCTAATCGGGACAGCAAGGGAGCGGTCAACTATAAGAGAGTGAGTTTAGGTGCACCTCAGTGAAATTTCATCCCAAAACCAATTGGTGATTGGAGGAGTTATAACCCACTAGGCTTATAAACTAGACTCACTTATCCTATCAAATCGATGTGTGACCACTCACAAGTGATATTTCCAACACAATAGAACAAGCCATTTCATAAAATTTACACAAACACCACCAAATTCTCGAAAATCAAGACACATGGAAATAAGCCATTTCATAAAAATCAACGACTTGGGTATACATCACAAAGAAATCAAACCACCTCACTAGCTCGCTAGCCAAAAAGCTAGACATTTTAAAAAAGATAATATATCATAATCATAACTTGACTCTTCAATCTCATTACATATATATCATAAAAAAAAAACTAAAAATAAAATAAAATAGAATTTATGAGCTATATATATATATCAATGTAAAATCTGTATGCCTTGTGTGTGTGTGTTTACTATATATAATAGCATATATTTTCCAAAGCTATCTGGTCAGTTGGATTTGGCATAACTTGGACACAACATGTTATCATGTGAAGAACATAGGTAATAAATCTCTTCCTCTGTTATAAGATCAGTTTGGGGGAAGTCCTCTAGAGCCAGAGGTGAATACCCGGTCTCGTAAATCAGTCCCGTATAATCCTGCATAATGTTTTCGATATCGCTTTAATATATAATTAAATAAAATAATAATAATATATAAAAGAAATAACAAATAGCTCTTGCTCTTAAATAGTGTTTGAAAAATATATATATATATATAAAAATTAGCAAGATTAATTAATATGTGATGAAAGTTATTTTAAATAGGCAGTCAAAAGAATTTTTGTGGGAATTGGTGAAGAAAGATGTATGGATATGTAGGCTTTGATTAGGATTGAGTCTGGTGATTATTATTATTTCGTTTTACTTTCTGTTTTATGTTTTTTTTTGGTGTTCATATGGGTGCTTTAGAGAAAGATGATCAAAGGGTTGATGGGCTTCCAAACTTTTGTGACTTTTTAAATCTAAAGACAACTTCTCAAAGGGATCAAAAAATATTCGGGGGACCATAATAAATGGCGCTATTTGCCACCCTCTTTCTAAAAAGATTAAAAAAAAAAAAAACATGTATATATACTGGCAATATTCGATAAATTTTATTCAGCCATCAATTAATAAAAATAGGATTTTATTTAATAAAAATCTTTATGACCAGCATTCAAATGACATGTACACAAATAGAACCTTCCCATTACAATGGTTTCGTCGGTGTTTTTAACCGTAGAAACACATGTGTAGCTCAGTGATGTGTAGATAATCTACGTTTAAAATTATCGACGAAACCATACTGTGACTGGACTATAGCTAGCCTTCTGGCCTTGCTATTATTATTATTAATTTTTTTATTCTGTACAGCTTTACAAGATTATAAATTTTCGGAATATACAATGTTAAATTAGTTTATAGCTAATATTTTTTATTTTGTATTATAGTTATACAATAGCAAAAAAAAGTAACAAATTGGTTTATGTGGAAGTTAATAATTTATATTTATATTATGTATTTATATATAATCAAAATTTGAAAATGTAACACGCACTTTATCTAATTTAAATTTTTAAATATCATATACATATACTATATTAATTTTTTTTTTCCCTCTGTGCACCACGAGCACATGATCTGATCTAGTACTATAGTATACATGTAACTGAACAAAATGAAACAATTTATCGCATTGTAGTGTATGTGTGTGTACCTGGATGAAATTAGATATGCTTTGGGTATTATTGCCATGACAGTAGAACTTATCGGCAGAACTGTTGACCTCGTCTGATGCGATCTGAGCCGTTGAATCTGCATCTTTCGTACCAACCCGCGGTGTCCCTTGCGTGAGATCCGAGGATGATGCCTCGGACGGGTTCCTCTTGCTCATGTTTTTATTTTCCATCTGATTTTGTGACGTCTCAGGCGTGGGCCCGACGCTATCGTCGTCCCACATCACTTGATCGAGGACGGCCGGCCCAAGTGGTTGTTTGTTGCTAGTCTTGGTTACGACTACGTTTTTCTTGAAAACCCGGCAGAGTGCATATGAATCCTGTAAATAATAAATAAATAAAAAAGAATATGAATTTATTTATTTATTTATTGGATTTATTTAAATTCCAAATTGTAAAGTATAATGCGTACCTTGAGAGATGACCCGAAGGCGCCAGGTACTGTAGAGTCCACGAGTCGATATTCATGCATAACCCAATCAGTTCGAATGCCGTGGGGCGCTCTGCCCCTGTAATACACCAGCGTTTTCTTCATGCCCACGGCCCGCTTTTGAGAATGCACGGTCCGGTCCTTCCCGGTGGCCTTCCAGTAGCCCGACCGGGTGGCCCGATTCGTCCTCGACCCGTTTGGGTATTTCCTGTCCCGTGGGCTGTAGAAGTACCACTCCATGTCCTTGCTGGGCAACAAAGATTTGTCTGCCAATATCAATTACCATTCACAAAAATTAATACAAGTGTCGCCACAACTAATATTGTTTGTACAAATTTTGAAAACGTAAATTGAATTAAAATGATTGTATGAAAATAATTAATAAAGTACCAGGTAAATCCCATGGTTCACATTTGTAGAGGTCAATCTCTGGTATGACTTGGAGCTCGATGATCCCACCGTTGATTTTCCGGTCAAGATAGTAGGCGACGAGCTCCTCGTCCGTCGGATGGAACCTAAATCCTGGGGGAAGGGTCATTGGCCCCATTTAATTTTGATAAGTTTTTTTACGAGCTAGGAGAGAGTAAAGAGAATAATTTACTATGGAGATGGAAAAAGTCGGTGCCTGAAATGGGGGGCTTTGGACAATATTGGGAACCTGGATTTATATACAGCTCACTGTTGAGGATCAAAAGCCGTTAAAGTGGTCCTTGTCATCTAAACTCTTCTTTGCATAGGCAATTAATTTATTTTTTTGTTTCTTTTGTTTTGATTTATGTTTTGTTCACACTCGACTTGAGATCTCATTGCTACACATTTTTGCGTCGTTTACTTTGCCGAATAAGATTGGTTAATGAAAATTGTCACTCCTTGTACAGTGTTTATTTCTTGAGTTTGGATGAGTTTGATTCCACTTGGTGGGCATGTGGACTGCGGGCTCCACTGCTTATCAGATATTGGATGATTAAATTAGTCTGCCTCACCCGGGATTTTTTTATTCCAATCTTTCTTTCATATTTGCTGGCCCCACTGTTTCAGATAATCCCACAGTATAAAGTAAACATGGGACAAATTGGTGACGTGCAAAGTATCTTTGATTAATTTGTCTAATCTCATAAACGAGAATGAGGGTATTGAGAAAATTAATAAGAGAATAAATCAGTTGTGTTGGTATGAACTAGTACAGATCCCGTGCGATGCACGAGGTGCACAATTTTAAAGTTATTTATCCAGCCTTATAATTATATAAATGAATAAAAAAAATATACGGGATATATATAGTACGGGACCTATGCGAGACACAAAATATATTTATTTAGGAAATATTATATTATAAGATGCAATATCCAATAAAAGTTTTATAATACGCAAGAAAATTATACAATAAAATAGTATTCGACAAAGAAACAATCATATATTATTAAATAATTTATTAGTAAAATAGTATAAAAATTGATTACAATAACAAAACAACATGCTCGTGGGATTAGTAAAAATACTTCATAGATTGAAGATTTAATGGGATTAAACATTTAAATTGATTAATTTAGATAATTTGAA